TCAAACAAACTTTAAAAAAAAGATTCCTTAAACATGTTGAATGTTAAAACTAAAAACCAATTAATTTCAGATGTGGTTTTTTATTATAGTTGACGATATTTGTGCTCCCTATATTCAAAACAATTCATGTTTAATTCTGTTTAATTCCGTCAACTTGCGAATCACTTAAGCTAATATAGATCATGCAGGATAAATGAAGATATTCCCATGGGTATCTTCTGCACCTCGTTACATAGGCGTCGAAACCGAGAGAGCTAGTGGGGCTTAGCTCCCCTACTTTTATGCAAATATATACATTATATATGCATTGAAAATTGGGGTTTACGTTATTGGTGATTTAACAACCACATCCCCCCCCAACTTTCAATTTGCTTCCGACGCCTATGTGTCATGTGAACACCTTTTTTGTATTTATAGGAAACCAAATTTGTCAAAAAAAAAATGAGAAAAGAAAAAAATAAACACTTGCTGTGGCCTTCTATTTGACACAAAGATATATAGACGACGAATTGTCCATTAACAATCGTAATTGCTATCACTTTAGAATGATCCTTAGTAAGATCCTCGCCCAATTTAAGGACAGAATTTGTCCTATATTGTGTACTAAAAATGAAATTCATTGAGATAACGAACATTATTTAAGCTTAAAAGCGTAAGAGGTAAGGATCAGGTGCTATGGAGGAGGGAGCATTCCCCCTGACAGGAGGCATCTGCCGTGTGCTCCTTGTCATGATCAGGGATTAAGAGAAAAATCCATGAACATTGCAGTGTATTTATAATAGTTGAACAATTCGGATGCAAAAGTAGTCAGCTTTTTGGCTCAATGGTACTATTACGAAAAATACGATGACTTTAAACGAAACAGATAATATTCCAGTTTCAGCAACTTGATCGTCGAAATTTTAACTAGGTTTAAAAATTGCTTTATTTAGAGCATGCTCGTCTGTATCCACAACAAAAATGAGAGATTTAAACCCCGTACGCAGATAATGAAGGTTTATTGTAGTAGCAAAAGTAAGGGAAGTTGAAAAGATCTTTGTTGATAAACAATACATCGTCGATATATCTAAATGTCGAGTCAAAGAACGCAATAAGAATTTCTTCTTTTCACGTATATTATCTGATAACAAATGCAAATTATAGTTTAAATAAAAATTCTCTTAAAATGATCAGGAATGAAATAGGAGCAAAACGAAAATTGGATATCTTAAAATAATAAAGATGGGATCACATGGCCTGAAGAAATAATCATCCCCTGGTAACGAATCACATCCATCATCAATGCCTTGTCATGTCTGGGCAAACAGGACAATAGGTAGATATAATTCGGTGTGAAAATAACGACCTGACAATTGAATGAAATGACATTTATGTAAGCCTTATCTTAATATGTGACTACATGTACGAATTTAAAGCCTTACGACTCGTGTTACGGTACACGTAAGTGTGAAAATGCATTGCCGAACAATCTCTAGTCAAAAGAAAAGAATGTTGCTCGTTTTAAACTTTATCAAATTTTATGTTTATTTGTCGCGAAAAGTGTCAAGAAGAAACATTGCAACCATTCATGGTGTGTAGGGATGAAAGAGAAAACTAAATATGTATCAATGGTTTTTGCGATTCACAGAAAAATGAAATTTAGCCAAATACTGTAAACCATCTTTTATTCGCGTGCGAGGAATATTTTGCGAAGTATTTTACCAGAGCCTTGTAATCGAAAATATTTTTCGCCGCGAGCTGGTCCTGAAAGTCTCTGTGTCTATTAACTACAGAATAAAAGCTAAATCCCGAAAGATTATTGTCGCTTATAATTTAGCTATGCTGAATCGCAACATAAAGTCGTCGCGAATAAAAGTTTGTTAACAGTAATCGTCGCACTTTCATTTATAAAAAAATAGCATAAATAAGTTTTGTAATGTTTAATTATTACTGTGATAGTTACAACTACAGGAAAAAAAAACATCAGTTATATTCACTTTGTTTGGTACAAAATCTTAAATATAACACAAAGTAATCACAGTTTACTTTTTTATTTACAACATCGATATATTACGCACATCAACAACATTGTTCACGTAAAATTGTTTGCGAGAAAGATATTTCTATGTATCTATATATATTGAATTTTCAAAGAGTTTTTTTTAATTGCTTGAACAGTTGCAAACACTTCTCAAAAATTTGTTTACTTCTTCACAAATAATATCCAGCCAACACCTTGCAATATGAAAGAATCGCCAAAATTAACATCCTCACGGTGCCAATTATTAAAACTCATGTATTTTTTTTTTTGCTTCCATTAAATCAAATACACTTGGTTTATTCATTAGTTTTGGAGGAAAAAAATCTTCCGTATATCATTAAGATGGCTTTTCATGCAGTAAAGATATTTTCGCTAAAAAAGCAAATTCTACAAAATATTAGGTAACAAATAAAAAATTATAAAGGGAAAAAATATCAACATTTAATTTGAATTATCTTTCTTGACTCGCGGATACTACCTTTACGAATGATAGCGCAATCATATAATTTTTTGTTGCAATAAAAATATGACTTGGTAGATTTTGTCAAGATGCAGTGATAAACATGTACATGTTTTTATCATTATTTCTTTTTCAATTTTCTCTTTAATAAATATTTTATTTAGATTGCGACAGTTTATTACTTCAAAATTATTTCTGTTAATTGTCTTCATTATTTCTAAAATTCTATTCAATGAATATAGATACTTAACTTTAAGAGCAAACTTCTTATATTTGCAGCCCAAAATAAAAAAAAAACTCTCCTGATTTTGTCTAAAACAATGACCAAAAACAATAATGTAAATTACGACGATATAAACGTATCAACAAATGAAATAAGCACAGCATGCATTCAAGAATATAGCATTTCTAGAATTTCATTGGGTTAATTATGGCATGAAGTTGATAAATTCCTGAAGGGCAAATTTTTTTGTTTTCAAATATTTATATTGATTTGTATTGCAAGGAAAATGTGCGCAAGGCAATTAGATATATAAAAGAGGCATCCATTGCAAAACAAAAAACAAAAAACAAAAACAGACAACAACATAAGATATCATACAAAAACCATATTTAGCAAGAAAATAGTCCTTATTAAATACAGATATTTTATTTGTATCAATTAACAGTGTTTTTTTAAGCTTCTTATAGTGTCTTCTAAATTTTCATTTCGATATAAATGAGAAACACAAAGTACACAAAAATTATTGTTAACCCTCAAGTGTGGAATGAAAATTATTTGTTTTTCCTTTAGATTTTTTTGTTTTTGTCATCTCATAGTTATTGTTATAGTTATGATGTAGATGTTGTTTGTAAGAGTTTTGTTGATAATTTTTAAGTGTCTCAGATGTTGATGTTAATTATATTATATTGCATTAAATGCTGCTTGTGTAACTCTAATTGTCTTGTAGGAAACATACATTCGAGAAGATCAAAATTACAAAATTAACATTAAGTAATATTAAGTCTCACAAATACGTTAGACTAAAACATTTTTATTTGTACGCTTCTATATATATATTTTAGCAAAGCCAGCTGCTTTGTTTTACTAATTACTCGATATGATAGTGCTAAGTCACAACAAGGGCTTTAACTTAGGCATTGGAACAAATAAGCGAATATATTAAAATTAAGTCCACATAAGGACAATTCAAACATGTAAATGGTATGAATATTATTAAATTTATTAGAATAATCGCCCTTCGGATTGAGATAGGGTCACAATGGGATTCAATTAGGAACATTTATGGCGTAATTATAAATGAAGTGCAAAGTTCGACTAGGCTGCACTGTCTGCTTACAAAAGTAAATTGTCCTGTATTGATTGGAATTTTGAAATTTAAATCAGTTATTTTCTATAGATAAATACCATTGCAGACATTTGTCAGTGTGAATTAAAATGAAAAGAAGACTGTCGATGAAATCAGTAAACATTCTGAATCCATATCTTTGAAATATTACACCTTTAAAGTTCGCAAAAGAGTGTGAACTGTGTAATTATATTTATTATCAAATCAAGGTCTCTATTAAAATATTTTCTTTGCATTTACTAGTATGGGTATTGGTAAGTAAATTACAGCATTTATCCTTGAGCTTTGTAAATAATAAAAGGAAAGAAAAAAAACTAGGACAGAAATATACATCTTAGTATCACTTGACCTGCTTTACTACAAAGTTTCAAATTCTGTAAAGCTTTTATCCCCTCCTTACTGGGTGACCTTTGATGATTTAATCAATCTTAATTTTTCGTCACATTTTTCTGACTCTCCTCTTATTTACAAAAAAATTAGGAGAATGTTAGCTTTTTATTCCTATGTAAAGTTTGAGCCCCTATTAGGACACTACCTTATCCAAGGAGCCCCGATTTAATCACATCACAATATTCCAATGCAATATTGACAATGTATCCCTCCTGTTTTTGATAAGAATGCTTTTCTAATATCTTATTCTAATATGGCATTTTATATTTATGTCATGTTACAATATATTATACTATTATCATGTTATAATATCCCCGTTAGTCATATTATTTCGACAAAGTTCAATCGTCATAACACAGGATTACGTTCACAAAAACTTCTCAAACTACGATCTTGAGCATGAACATGAACAATCATGTTATCCCCTTATATATTATTACTATTTTGAGTATTTAATTGTGTAATTCACCCAAATTAAAAACAAACATACACATGTATAGCATTATACTCCATAAAAAGATATAAAAACAGAAATTTATCCTTTGTAATTTTACCATGTTTGTTCTACACCTGAAAAAATATAAATGAATATTTTCTAAATTTAACATTTTCAAAATTGATTTACGTGCACGATAGAATCAAATCCAAAAATTAATATTTTTAAAATCACATGAAAACTAACTATGTATTACTTTTAAAACAGCCAAAAATTAATCGCTTAAATTTTCACCACTTTTCTGGCTTAGATAAAAAAAAAGATTATCTGATGTTAAAACTTCATCGTTTTTCTAACTCTCTCATAAAAATCCTAATCCCCATTCAATTTTTTCCAAACTATGGAGTTACACTGTAGTAGCTTTCATTTCACAGAGAGACCACGCTCCCTTAGCATTACCACTGGCTAAATACAGATTGACGTCACTACAGTGGGCGGGGTCTGGGCAGTCACAACGAAACACACAACGTGAAAAGGCGTCAGGTACGGCCTTGTTGTCTGTCAGAGTACAGAACTGGGTCGGTTCTTTGATGGCTCTGTAGGATACCTAGAGATATTTGTACAAACAAATCAATAAAATTGAATAAAAATAATAACTATTACCATCATTTTTACCTTGCAAAGTTTCGACTTTCATTAATTGCTATTCTGCATGCGTGATTTAATTTTAGGCAAACAATACGTTATGCATTTTAAGATAAAAACAATTTAAGGTCCATCTTTCCCAAACAGTTCTAAGAGATAAAATTTACATCAAATATTTGGTGAAAATCAAAATAAGGCTCATTCGAGATTCGAGGTTCGAAATACGAAATTCGACAAGCGAAATATGAGATTCAAAATTCGAGTTTCGAAATTCAAGATCCAAACTAACCAATCAAAACGGGTATAAAATTTGATTACTCCCCTTTCTTATGTTTTTTTTTCGATCGAGAAATCGTTGAAAACATAATTATTAATGGGTCATTTGCTAAAATCATAATGCAAGAAATATTGTTTCATGTATTAAAACTAAAAGTAAATAAAATTTGGATTACATTTTGAAAAAAACATATATAATTTAATTTTTCTTATTAAACAAAATAGAAAATACATACGTATATATGGAAAAATATATGGTCTTATCGTTGCAGAACAAGTAGGCCGACTTTTATTTTTAATCAGATTATTGCCGATGGAGAATATTTATTTGATTAAAATGAGATATGAAATACTAGTATTATGAATCGTCTCTACACTGCACAGTAATTCAAGGGTATATATTTCATTACATTCATAAAGGGTATATTTGTGCAGTGAGACTTGACTGCTGAATCGAACTGTAGCGTTACAAGGTTTCACAAATATATTTTAGTCTTTGGTCATAATGGTATGGTCAGAGACTAAAATTTAAAACCATAACACTATAGTTCTACATCTAATTTAGACTCATCTATTATTGATATATGATGAAATAAATGCCGAAATTATTTTAATTCATTTGCCAATCTGTATTGTATATATAATTTTTAATCAATTCAAGAAATCAAAGCCTTAGATGAAGATAGGTAAATAAATATCTTATTTCTATGTATTTCCTCTATCAGGAACATGAACGCGATAGTTTTTCAATACTACGTCGCCTTTCACGTTTTACAAAGAAACATTTTCAGTGATTGATTGTATATTGTTTAACGTCCCTCTCGAGAATTTTTCACTCATATGGAGACGCCACCACTTGAGGGTGGAGGGCTACAAATTTTGTCCTTTGCTCGGCACTTAGGGCCTTTGAGCAGTGAGGGATCTTTTTCGTGCCAGCACCCACTGCGACACGGGGCCTCGGTTTATACGGTCTCATCCGAAGGACCGGTCTCCACGTCCCACAGTGGGATTCGAACCCGCAAAATAAGGATTGACTCCTTACTTCGCGACTCTAGAGCAGACGCTCTAACCACTGCGCCACGCGGGCGACCATTTTCAGTGTGTTTGGAAAATAGGCACATGGGGTTGGTAGGGGTTGGGTTATTGATAATCTTTAGACACTTTATTTTTATGTCATAAATCCCGGAAACAAAGTAGACAGTACAAAAATATATATACTCCATATATAATATTCTATTTAATATTTAAGACGCCAAAATATAAATTGAAGTATATCTTGCTGATTAAAAATCCAATGATTATTTTAATTTCCTTTTAATATATATAACACTCTTTGTTGCATTGTATTTAAATCTAATGATCCATTTGGTCATTAATATACTAAAAGATTTCTTGATAGAAAATCATAATAAAGGGGAGTAATCAAATGCTTTTCATTGGTTAATCTGGATCTTGAATTTAGAAACTCGAATTCCGAATCTCAAATTTCGAATCTCGTATTTCGAATGAGCCTTCAGGGCTTTCGTAAGATAAGGAACAGTATTCAAGCTCTAAAGTCCATTAAACAATATTGAGCAGAGAAAACACAGATCACCAAAACATCAAAGTTGGGATCACATGCCTTGGAGTAGTGAGTATCCCCTGCCGATCGGTCACAGCCCTCGTGTCCCCCTGCTTTATTCTTCCCCTTTTTATTTTACAGTCATATTTACCTGAAGCATCCGGGCATTTGAGTGTCTGTCACATGATATGCCTATCCCTGATATGTTGAGAGTGAAAGCTTTTGCCTGAATGCCGAAGACAGGTTCTGTCGGTATGCTCATCGTTAAGAAAGGCGTGAAGTCTTCTTTGGTCGAAAGAGAAAAACACGTGTCCTCATTGTCATCAAAGACAACTGCTATTTCAAATTTCGTGGTTCCACCGGGATCTTTAAATATTGAAATCGACTCCCATCCTGGAGGAGAAAAGCATGTACAACTCAGATAATGCTTTAGATAATGCTTAAAATATAACAGGAGTTTCTTGTAAATCCAAACTCTGTCACCACCCCATGACGAGTAATTAATGTTCTGATTTTTTTTTTTAAATAAATATATTTGTAAGTAAATTACCTCTGGAAATCGAATAGCTTTCAGAAGCTTTACTAGTTGGAACTGAAAAAGAATGCATGTTTTTTTTTTATTTCAAAAGATCAAAATTCCATATCAACGTACATTAAAAACTATAAAGCGCAAATTGAACCAACCCAGTTTATACCGTATAAAATGGGTAGCTAGTAAATTCATTCCTTAACTATAAACAAAATAACTAATTGTCATTCATAATACGCATAGGTTGCATTCAATTAAAACGATTTTTAATGCATTCTCTTTACCGTTACAGGTGTTTTCTCGAAGAATCATGATTTTCCTTGGTTCTTTAGATACAACAGTGGTAACTATGGGTACAGAAGTGGTAGTGGTACTGGTACTGGTAGTGGTAGTGGTAGGTAAGGTACTCAAAGTTGATTCTTCGCTCAAATTTGCAAAGGGACCTAAATTTGATAGAAATACTGTATAAATGTGTAAAAGCAAGCAAGTTAAAGGCTGAGGGTCAAAATCAAAGACAGATCTAAAATTTGAGGACAGGAAAAATATATACTCATAGAAACTGTTTGAAAAAACAACAAAGTGATTCATTAATCTATACAATTGGCATTCGTCTGAATTAAAACAAATTATTGACCATTACCCGATCATAACAAGGAGTACACCTCGTGTGTGTCCAGATCGGCAGGTGATGCTCACTCCTCCATGGCACCTAATCCCACCTCTGACGTTTTCAATTTTTATGTTTGATCTGTTCCTGATTTGCGTTTTTTGTATCTTTTTTTTTTTGCGTGTTTACTATACTTAAATAATGTTAGCCATATGTTTCATATACAATTTGTAACTGAAATCAAAGGTGTAGCAAAACCTGCACGCGGGACGGGAATAAATGAGAATGAATTTGTGTTTATCATTGTGATTTAGCTTTTGATAGGCACGGGCAATGAATGTATTTTTTTTAATCTATTTTCTATGAAAGAAGAAAATTTTTTGGGGGATAAAAATATTCGTTTGTTTCGTTTTAATGAATTATTTAGGAAAGTAAATCTTATGTTAAAATTTCTATTAAATATTTCATATGTTATAGACGTTCTTTAGTAACACCGGTTCCATTTGACCACAGAACCTTTATAAGTAACTAATCAAACACATTTTATATACATGAAAATCTATAATTCTACAATAACTTGTACCGGTTAGGTGTTAATGTATACTTGGGAGAAGAGTTAATTTAAAATATGATTCCACAATGTATTTCAAATAAATCTAGAGCATAGCAAACCAATAAAAATTGGACTTTCTTCACTCTTTCTTTTTCTCTCTCTTTAATAATAAAATATAGATTGTTCGACATCTGATAAATATACAATGATTAACATACAATATATTTCCTAACCGACACCTGATAGACAAACACACATATATGCTTTTTTTTAATGTTTGCAAATCCATCTTTCAAAATGTTTTAATGCATACACTGTATCAAGAGCTCTCAATGAACCGATGATCAATCTTGATTTGGTAATAAAAAAATGTCATTGATTGGATGTAATACAAACTGGTTTATAAATGGTCATGTCAATCAAAGATAGATTTATGTTTGATAAGTATTTATAAAAATATTAAATACAGAGTCAGAAAAGAGATTAAAGTCAGTGAGAACCCTAACATTTGTCTCATTCTCATAGTTTTGTCTGTCTTGAACACAATCCGAAAATTCAGTAATACTTTGTTTTATACCAACAACGCAAAAGCTATATAACGCGAAAGGTAACAACGGAAAATTACGTCATTGCTGTACGCTTCAGAGTTGTACATTCCGTCCGAATTGTTTTATACTTTATTATTCGTAAAGTGATATTCGGATTCAAATGCACGGACTACAGGTTGGGGAAAAATACCATGATTTCGACCGTCAAATGTGTGAGTTATTTACTTAAAACATGGCTGTTAATAATAATGAGAATTCTATGATAATGAACAAACTGTCCGAGATTAAAGAGCTGCAGATCTGCTATTTATTGTAATAGATATTTATCCATTAATAGATTGAAACAATAAATGTTACTATATGGCATGACGGTGTGTCTGAATTTCTGAGCTGACCAAGAGCAACATGTCAACATAAGGGAAGATACAGCCACCCGAAGAGTCGAAAGATCCTGAGCTATAGGGCAAGAGGCGTCGACGTTCAACGCATAAGGTTAAGTTTCACATAATATACAACAAATTTAGAGAATATTAACACTGATTCTACGAAAATCAAAGAAATTCGAAGAGGTCTGGCCACTTGATGTCACCGATTTCAATGATTTTGGAGTTGTTGGCTTCTTTCACCTATCTTGCACAAATATGAATAAAAAACAAAATATTAAACCGTTGCCATGGAAACCAACCACGGCATATTACAGTGGTCTATAACTGTGAAATAAGTCCATTTTTGACCCTCTTCATCCAACAGTGAATTCTAATGTAAATAGAAAAAAAATAATTATAGATTTCATTTTTCTACAGATAGATCTTTTTATACCTGCAATCATTATTTACTCTGTGATAAATGGTGTATGCACGGTGTACATGCAATTTTTCATTACTTGGCATTGTGCCAAAAAGTGCATTTTTGCTGTTTTTTCATGCATGATTTTCAAACATTTGGCTAACATAGGGAATAAATGCAATTATAAACATTAAACAAGCATAATCTTGACTTTTAAAAAGTATAATAAAATTTTTGGAGAAACAACACAGTCTATAGAAACAATGGCGAGAAAGTTATTTGTTTTTTGGCTCTTTGCCAAAAAATGCAACTTATCTATTTCTGAGTGAATTGTTTTTTTTTTTTTAATTATCAAATACTGAGAAGAATTGTAATTGTTAGCATAACCAAGTTTTATTAAAAAACATTTGATAAATAAAGGTTTTACGTTCATACAAAAGATCCATCATATCTTTAAGATTGTACACTTTGGCACTATGCCAAAAAAGTAATATTTTATGCTTGTTTTGAAAACTTTGGAAATGCATGGAGGAAAGGCAATAGGCAATAATTATGAGCAAAATCTAGACCTTTTTAAGTGTTTGATAAGATTTGTGAAGAGAAATTGCACATCAAATAAATCATGGCAGGATTACTACCAACACAAGTTTTAATTCAATTTTGCCCTCATTTCAGGGCGGATTAAATATTTATCAAAAGATCGGAAGAAATCCAATTTGTATTACACATTGAATACAATTTTCTACTGACTAAAAAGATTTATGAAAGACAAGAAATATGACACATAAAATATTCAAGAACTCATTATTATGCCTATCAGATTTTGTATATACTAAATTGGAAATGTTTGACAAAAATTTTAACAGAATGAGGAAAGCATGTTTTCTTTCATTATTTTACATTTTTAACAAACACAGTGTATATATATTTGTGGTATTTCTCTATTATATAAACATGCAGAGAACTAATAACGTCATATCTGTATGAAGTTATACACAGGTCATAGGTCCATATTGGGCCTAATCACATGGTGCAATAAAAGAGAGGTTAAGCAGATGACCGTGTACGTCTACGTGTACGTGTAGCTAAGGAAATCCCCTAATTTGATGCGATTTACGACATCAGTTTTGCATAATTCTACAAGTTGTACAATGTACATACGTGTAGATTCGCAAATACATGTAGCTGAAAACTTGTAGCTTCTTAAACTTGAAATACGGAATAAATATTTTTCAGTCAGTATTTAGTATGAAGTTGATAGTTTATTACGAACAACCAATGTACCTTCTTTATTTCAAATCATAGATTTATGTAATACAAATGGATTGTAAGGTGACATGTTAAAATGACGTTTTACACGTACTGGTACACGTCAATTTGTTAAACAGAACAGGACATTAATTACGCGTACGTGTAAAATTACATATAGGTTAACACGTACAAGTAGACGTACACGGTCAAATGCTTAACCTCTCTACTCTACCAATATGTAGTACAATACGTAGTAACTTAATTACTTGCTATACTTTTTTTAATTAGACTTTTACCTAAATCTTCATGATAAACTATAATTTCTTTCATTTAATTCTACTCGCTATAAATTTGTAAATCTGTTAGAAAATATCAAAGCATGCAATCATGCCACAAACAGCTGACAAACACTTTGGTGTTGTCATAATAATGTAACCGAGCAGTAAGGCAGATGTTGGTTTAATAATTTATTGAGGAAATAAAGGCATTGATATAAAATAAACAAAATACATTATAAGTCAAAATTACAGAATTTGTGAAAATAATATATGAAATAATTTACCTACAGTATACGTTTACGAAAAAATGAACTCTAAGAAAAAATGTGTACTGTAAACAAATCAAATTGAAATCTTACAGACTCATTATAATTTCAGTAACAACTTTGAATGCAAAAATACAATGAAGTAAAACGTTTGCAATCAAAATAATAACGTAAATTAAATCTTTATATGGTTAGGAAACACATAATCAAATATATAAGTTACATACCATAAGATGCGTATGATGGACACTGGATTAAATATACTTCTTTCTTGGAAAACGTATTACTGCTATGACATACATAAGTAAAGCGCGGTAAATTTATACTTATAATGAAAATGTATTATTGGATGATAAAATAGTAAATAACCAATCAAATGAAAGAGCCAATGAAATCATAGAATAAAACTTTACTCAGGCAACTCAATCCAGGTGCGCAATAGAACTTTTGGTTAATCAAAT